CAACTTGGACACGGAACACAAAGTTCGAGAGGAGCAATCGAGCAATGGAGCAACAGCGGACTGTTCCCGTACTGAAAGGACCGAACACTTGTCAAAATGTAACATTGAGGTTAGGAAAGAAACGAAGACGTAAACAATTCTCAGATGAAGGGGCCTCAACTACAAAATGAGATAATAGGTGGAGAGTTACGTATAAACTATAGAGAAAATCTTCAGGTAGTTAAACTAGAAATATGTCTACCCTTGTTTAGTGTTTACGATTAACAGTTAATGTAAAGGGTGTCCAATAAGTATCACGACAAACTTAAGGAGAAGGTAGGCTTTGGACAGACCTCCCAAATAACAAAACTTACCTATATAAAAGTGTCACCGTTTTTGTGATATTGAATTTTTTCTTAAACCTAGAAAACGAACCTTTTCATCTGTGGTCCTTAGCAGCATGTACAAATAAGGTTATACTTTGTTCATTTTTTCTATAAAATACTTCTGGATAGTTGCTTTATCATATACAAATGCAATGTATTTGAAGGATGGAACCATGATCAAATAAGGACTATTTTGGGATTTATAACCTTCTGAAATTTTTCCTCAACTTTGACCGTCTATGGTGAAACCAAAATGTAATGGGCTATAAATGCATTAGTTTGAACAAAAAGAATGCTCATTGGATACAGATTTCAGAAAATCACCACACGTACTATTTGGAATAGAAGAAAGTGATAGCTACTTTTGTAAGTGACTGACACACACTACAGTGTATACTAAGTGACATATAAATCCGAACACCCAGTTTAAATGGTTTTATTTTAATAAAAGTTGGTGAATGTATTTATCTTACTGTAAATAACAAGTGAAAAATTTTTCAGCGTTATCAGTTGAACATTCCGGTTTTTATACTGCTTTTTTTAATTCACTAACGCTCTAAAAATGAATATTTCAGCCGCAGTAAAGAATCAACGTTGGCGGATTTTGGTTCTTGACATCCTTTACGATCGGTTACGATGCCTAGAGTACGGAGACCTGTACGATTTCGTCAACTTAGTGAGTTTGATAGGGGCCGTATCTTGGGACTCCGGGAAGCTGGACTTTCTTTTCGGGCAATTGTAGTTAGAGTGCAAAGAAGTGTAGACACTGTGGTTAGGTGTTGTCAGGCATGGCTTCGAGAAGGCCGTACGCAAAGAGCAAGGGGCACTGGACGCCGCCGTAGAACAACAGACCGTGAAGATCGCCGCCTAAGATTATTGGCCTTAAGGGACCGTTTCTCCACTACCAGGTCCATTGCAAATGAATGGTTTGCAGAACACGGAAGACCTATTGGCATGCGAAGTGTTTACCGACGAATGAGAAGTTTTGGCTTGTTTTCATACCGGCCACACTGGGTCCTCCCTTTAATTCGAGAATACCGACTTAATCGCCTTGAGTGGTGCAGACAACGGTCACTCTGGGATCAGGAATGGAACAGTATTGTCTTTAGTGACGAGTCTTGATTTTGTTTAGGCATGCACGATGGTCGTGCCAGGGTTAGAAGGTGACGTGGTGAAAGGAGGAATCCACAGCTTTTTGTTGAAAGACATGTTCATCACACTGATCTGGTTATGGTTTGGGGTGCTATAGCTTATGGTTCCAGGTCACCTTTAATCTTCATCGGAGGTAACATGAACGCGCAGCGTTATATCCACGAAGTTCTAGAACCCCATCTTTTACCCTATCTTGACAACCTGGCAGATCCAATTTTCCAACAAGATAATGCCCGACCACATGTTGCAAGAGTCACAATAGACTTCTTTCAACATAATGATGTCACATTGTTACCATGGCCACCAAGATCTCCCGACTTATCCCCAATTGAGCACGTGTGGGATATGATGGCTCAATTTGCAACGTCCTCCTCAGACTCTATAAGCACTTCGAGAGGAGTTGGTGGTTGCCTGGAATGAGATACCACAGGAGGACATTGACCACCTGATCAGAAGCATGCCTAGGCGCGTTGGAGAATGCGTAGCACATCAGGGTGCATCCACACATTATTAAAGGTCAAAGGGCTTTAAAGCAGTGTAATCATTTTGAAATTTTTATCATTTACTTATTATGCTTCATTTTATTAAAATAAAACCATTTAAACTGGGTGTTCGGATTTATATGTCACTTAGTATAATTATTGGATTTAAATTCAAGTTGCAGTGATTACCGATCAGTGACATGCTAAATACTACAAAGCTACTTTAATATTACCTGCTCCTAATATGATTTTATGAAGGTTGATGGAAACAATATAGGGAAGGTTATAAATCCCAAAACAGTCCTTATTTGATCATGGTTCCTTAATATCTTTTAACTACATTGCATTTGTATATAATAAAGCAACTATATAGAAGTGTTCTATAGAAAAAATGAACAAAGTATACATTTATTTGTACATGCAGATGAAAAGGTTCTTTTTTTTTAAATTAAAGAAAAAATTAAATATCTCAAAAATGTTGACACTTTTAGTTTTAGTTTTTGTTATTTGGGAGGTTAGTCCAAAACCTACCTTCTCCTTGAGTTTGTCGTGGTTCTTATTGGACACCCTGTACAAATGGCGTAATAACAGCGTTGATCATTCAAATCCGGTCGCGTAATGTCTAGAGGTGACTAAAGTATATTCTTGAAGTACCTAGCAGATAGAATCTCGTGAGAGCATCCTTATATATTATTCATACAACAGTATAATTATTTAATAATATTGTCTATAACTAACCTCCGTATTGAATGGAATAAACAGGTACATTAACTGTAAATGCTTAACAAAATACAATTCAGGACATTAAAAAAATATTTCAAGTATTCAATCAAAAGTTGGTCAATGTTGATGTACTGGAAGATAATGCTGATCAGAACAGAGCTTGGTTACTAAAGAGAGTATTGGAAAGCGTGCCTGAAATTGAAGAGATAAATAAACCAAAAAACAAATATTATTTAGCATACATTGATCGAAGTTCACCAGTTTGAAGACAAATTCAAAATAAGATCGATCTGCCCAGTTCAACCAGTTGTCATATAGATGCTTTGATTAGGGCAGCTGAATGCCATTTTGAAGTCGCTTCAATGACGGATTCAAGAAAGCCTAGTGATTCCCATTATCTGCCACATTGCACATCACAGATCCGTTTGCCTCTATCCAAGTTAATGTCGTTTCAATATCATGACAATTTGAAAACTTCGTGTTAACGAATAATGATCGCAGGTTTTTTGTCTATTTTACGTGACTCCACAGCTCCCAAACACGAATTAGTAAGGTCATGCTGTGTTGAAAAGTTCAAGGAACTGACGAATATGTCATGGAAGTTAACACAAAAATGTGTAACAGGCTCAGCTGTATCCTGTAGCGTTCCGACTCTGTTCGACATCCGGACCAAAACGTAATTTCATTAAATTTTATCAACACGGTCGGGAAGTTCCGATGGAAATGAAACATGCATTTCTGTACGGTACCCGGACGAATCCGATCGACATGCCGTTGATGCTTATTCCAGATAAGGACCGTTTCGGGTTGCTATGCTCTCCCTCTCCCTCTCTACCTTTCCACGTCTGGAATTTGCTTGCAGGTTGACGCACTCTCTACCCCGGTTTTTGTTTGGGACGATTGCAAATAGCTACGGGTTTTAAAGAACTGACCAGTATTGCCTGCTCGACAAAAGGATGCAAGAGCGGAAACGGTGAGTGGTGCCGCAGAGACAGGTAGGTGTGTTGTCTTAGAAACTTTCAGCGCTGTAAGGTTCTACTCCAGAGTTGATGATGAATGACACAAATGGATGTCATCCATTTATGTCTCTTCTCGCTGGATCTACCTGTCGGCATTTTTGTAACCATATACTGCCACAAACCCCTGCACTGGTTTTGATCAAATTTTGAGAGTATGTTTGCAATAAGCTAATTCTGCTTCATTGGTGGAATGCACATCGATAACAAACCATCTGCAAACTTGGTTTTCGGATGTTTGTCAGCTTTTGGCACTATTGGACATAATGAAAGTGTACGTATCAGGAGTTTTTGAAAACTATATCACCATGTACATTCAGGAAGCGTCTTTGAGAAATTGAGTATATAGTTATACGTGAATGCGTGCTAGATATTGGGTCAATCTATCTGACGATATCGCATTCCCGCACGCTAAGAACAAAGCATTAAAGGTTTGGAGAAATGGGTACACTTACGGCTCATGAAATTCAGAACAAGACAGACAGACAGACAGACCGACATATGGATCGATAAACAGACCGAGAGACACACCGTCAGGGAGACCGACAGACAGACCGAAGTCTTGGTAATGGAGGATGAGACTTAGGGCCGTATCGTCAGTCGCTTCTACAATAATTGTACGACGCTTTTATGGCCTCCTTGATTTTGATAGTTTTCTACTGTGCCAGCGCTCTATGTCGGGGTATGTTACTATTACATATCTATTTGCATCAAATTGCTTGTTCATGCTTTTGATTTGTATCATCTGTTATAACAGCCTGAAATTTCCTGCTGCAAAAGGAATAAACACAGCCTCACAATAAGAGAGCACTGACGCTGTCACGGCACAGAAGAAATATAGAGATGCCCCAGCCTTTCTGAAGGAGATGAGAGGAGATTATCAAAATAAAGGAGGCCATAAAGGCGTCCTACAGTTGTAGGAACGACTGACGATACGGCTCTTAATCGTTTCTTATTTACTAACAAGTTTATAACCAATGACTTAACAACAATTAACAAGTAACAAGCGAATAGATAACCCAGAAACATTCGAGACAAATTGTACAGGACCGAAGCGCTCGTCCACTTTCCACCACAAAAAGTATACGAGGGATGTCTTTTAAGTTTTGCATATAGAAACATGGTAGGCCGTGCGGATCGAACGTCAGTATCTACTGGATCTTAACCACACTGTTTACTAAACTTAAATTCAAAGTTTCACAACAATACGTGCAGTGTTCTCACTACAGTGAATTTTTATCTGTCACCAAGTCATTAGAAAAATGGAACTCAACAGAAAACATTTTCGCGCCATAATTTATTACAACTTTCAGACACAATTATCGCAACAAAAATACCTTACTGAGTTACTGTCTGTTTTCGGCAACGAAGCGCCACATCAGTCGACAATTTCTCGTTGATATGGAGAATTTAAACGTGGACGGGTGAGTCTTAGCGACGATCCCAGGGTGGGTGCACCAAAACCGGCAGTCACCCAAGAAAACGTTGATGCTGTGCGCAAACTCATCATTGAAGATAGACATGTGACATATCGCGAGATTGAAGCGTCCTTGAAGATCTCAAAGACCTCAATTCAAAAAATGTTACTTGAAGAATTATTAGTAAGAAAATTAGTTTCTCGTTGGATACCCCACCTGTTGACTGAAGAGCAGAAAGCAGCCAGGGTTAATTGGTGTCAAAAAACGCTTGACCGTTTCAATTCTAGAAACACAAAAAATGTGTACAGCATTGTGAGTGGTGATGAATCGTGGATTTACTGTTATGAACCAGAAAATAAACGACAGTCGGCTGTTTGGGTGTTCCAAGGTGAAGAATAGCCAACAAAAGTCATCCGTTCTCGAAGTGTTTCAAAAAAGATGGTCGCGATATTTGTGTCAAAAACGAGTCATATTGCAACAATTTCTCTTAATGAGCAAAGAACTGTTACTACAGATTGGTATACCACCATTTGTTTGCCAAAAGTCATCACCGGGCTTCGAAAAATCAACCCCGAAAGAAGAATCATCCTCCACCAAGACAATGCAAGCTCGCACTCAGCCCAAAAAACAAGGCAGTATTTAACGCAAGAAAACGTGGAATTATTGGGCCATCCTCCATATAGTCCCGATCTAAGTCCTAACGATTTCTTTACTTTCCCGAAAATTAAAAACAGACTGCGTAGTCAAAGGTTTCAGTCAACAGAAGAAGCAGTTAACGCATTAAAAAAATGCCGTTTTGGATCTGCCAGCAAACGAGTGGAATAAGTGCTTCGAAAATTGGTTCGAACGCATGCAGGTGTGTATTAATCTTCGTGGAGAATACTTCGAAAAACAATAAAGTCATTTAAAGCTACCTACCGTATTGTTTTATTTCCATATGCAAAACTTAAAAGACATCCCTCGTACACGGACTTCCAACAATAGCGAACAGAACGAAACTAATAGGCTTAGGCTGAAACGTGGCATCGCGGTGACGAGACATGCATGGATGTATTGGCTTATGGCCACTCATCCTGCGTAGTAGGCGTGGTCAGCGACAGACTAGTTTTTCTCAAAATTTAAGTTAAGTTCGTTTTTTCGCAATGGTTTGTACTGTTTTTATTCTGTGCCTAGAGTGATTTTTCCTTGAAACTTCTTTCGATAAAATCAACCCTTTTTTGGGATAGAAGCGACAAGAAAAAAGTAATCACCCAAGCTTGTCTACTATAAATGTGGAATATTCATAAGACAGAACCTCGAAAGCATAAGGCGAAAGTGAAAGGTTTTGCTCTGGAGAAAAATGTAGAAGTCACGACATTTCCTGACTTGGTCCAGATTGTAGTGGGTGTGGGAGCTCGTTCACTCAGCATCGCTTACACAGTCACCTGTACTCTAGAATCTAGAGCTGACACAGACTCTTTTTACTGGATACAGCTTGCGATGAAGAAACTATAGAAAATAATGGCAACGAACTACAGTTCATCGCAGATGAAATTGCCACTGCTTCAATTACTTTGTAAAAGTCACAAGTTCAAAAAACAAAAATCAGAAAGAACAATGCCTTGAAAAACATGTCGAAAAAATACGAATCGACATTCGGTAAGCCATTAGATACTAAAGGCTTATTGAAACAACTCAACAACATAAAATCGAGATTGAAGAAAAAAAACTGGTAATAAAGCAATTAAATTGTTGGGTTGGGAGAGACAATTGCTAAAAGCTATGGAAGGTGACTGTAATCCTATAATTGAAAAAATGAGAAGTACCATACAGGTTGGGTAGTGTTAGAGATCAAGGAAGTGAACTATACAGGGTGTTAGGGGAATTATATTCGTAAATTTAAGAGTTGATTCCTTGCATCATTCTAGGCAAAAAGGTTCATAATAACCTATGTCCAAAAATCAACGGTTTAGGAGCAAAAAAAAATGCTGCACTTATTTCTTTTTAGTCATGAAATAAATTAATTTTGCACCTTAATAATTTAAATTCATACACCTAATAGCGTAAAATGTATCAGTACATCTATTTGTTGATTAGCTGCCTCTAACAATATAATTTTCTTGCTTATTAAATACAACTTTCCGAAGAAAAACAGACAAACAAAATTCATCACACAACTGGCAACATCGTACTCCGCCTGCACTGCATGTATCATCGCGTGTTGTTGTGATTACAAATCATGTGATTTACGGATGCTGTTTTTTTTTTCTTCCTTCGTGCATCGCATCGTTTCAAATAAGTAACTGATAATCGTGGGAATTGGTGGTGCGTATCGCCACGCACCTGTAAGTTCTGTTATTTTCTTTAAGTAAATAAGTAATAATATAATAAGTAAGGAAAGTGTTATTAAATGAAAAATATTAGCCACAAAAAATTACGTAACAGTATTCAATGATTCAAGGCATATTTTCAACAAAAATATCATACAAACGTAAGCAATTCGATGAATCAGTTGCGGTCGTCGTCCGCTCGTATCGCAAGCCTTGCCACGTGATTGAGAAAATTAAATTATTTACTACTCGCTCCTCGAAAACGATTGATTTCCGGACATAACTTATAATGAACTTTTTTGCTTAGAATAATGCAAGGAATCACCTCTTAAAGTTACGAATACTATTTCCCTATACTGAGCGTCGTGATCAATGTGTTAGTATTACAGCGCCAGCGGTTCAGAAGACATTGTCACCAAAAAGAAAATTAGCAACAGAAAAATATGAAATTGACGAAATCAAAGAGCTAACTACAAAGGAACTACAACGTCTGGACTTATTACAGCAGTACCAAACAAGTATTTAACAAAAAGAGTGTTATACAAAGCAATTCGGAATGATGCAGCGTAAAACCTATTATATATTATAAATACACTTTAATCAGTAAAACTGTTTACGGCAATAGTCAGGTTTCGTCTTATTTATTGACCTAGTTGGCGAAGCGGAAGTTCGTGATTCCCATGATTTCCTTCATCTTCGTCCGGTACTTGTTCAACTAACTGAAACTCACGATTGCTCAAGGTATTCGCAACCTTATGGAGTACAATACAAGCAAGAATTATTTTCTAATTTTACGCGATAAACATTGTAGGATAGGGAACGTCACAGGTGTTACGTATCTCGAAAAGTGACAATATGTCGATTTTTTTTTTATATTGTATTGTTTTTTGTAAGACTATGTAGGTTTTTCTACAAGATTTTAACTTATTACTAGCCGATGGATACAGTGTGAACTCGTTTTGTAGTTGTACGTGTTGCCTAAACGTCATGACGGTTCAGTTATGAATCCTTGGTTCCGATGCGATGTAAGATCTGCTTGAGAGATGCCATTACTAGAGGTCTAAGCTGTAAGTTGTATACTATAGCTGGAAGGAAACGGCAATGCATAGGTGCATAGTGAAGATTTGTTGGCTAATAATATGTTGATGATAATTTCATTGGATTCTTGTCTCAAATACACTTACTTGTGATGCCAAGCTAGAAATTAGAAAGATAAGAAATAATTATATTCCCTGTACACTGTCGAATTACAAGCCATATACATGCTAACACTAATTACACAAAGCGCACGCGCTGTGGTCATTTGCCGTAAATCTCCTCAAAGTGTTTAAAAACACAAAAAAGCGTAAAAAACCGTAATTCATAACTTTGAACATAACCTGTCTTAAGGAAGTGTATAATCAACCTGTCGGGCACAGCTAATCGATATACTTCATAGGCAGCATATTCAGTGATGATTGTCTCACACAACAAATATCACTGGTTTTATACACATGCAGACCAATATACATAGTCATCCAGATCCGACCTTTTATTTCTTCACAAAGATGAAAGCTATGGACTACTAGGCTTCACAAAACAAATGCAACCAACAATGCGGGTAGTTGAGTCATTCCTCTATAGTGAGCAAACGTGGAATGACTGGCTGTACCCTAAAAATTACCTAGTCAGCAAGATAAAATTTTAAGGTTTTTTTACGTTTTATAGGTTTTTTACATAAAAGCCGTGCCGGCATTTCAGTTGGCCGAAACAGCGTTCAATCATAACTCTTTCTTGCTTTAAAAGCTTATAATTTTGTTCTACACCCAGAGTAGGATTTCTGAAGGGAGTCATAATGAATGGCTTTATATCATATCCGTGACCGCCAAATACTACAACATTTGCTTTTTTTATTAGTTGTGATGTAATCTGTGAGTTTCTCCATATTCTGGAATCGTGCAGTGATCCAACCAACTGACACCAACACTTGTGAACATCTGGCATTACAAGTGGCTTGCACTTTTGAAGCAGGTTAGCTTTTTCGGTTGATATACTCATCTCCATGGCGATTTGGTTTCCTATATGTGTACAATCAAGTTCACCAATCGCTGTCGGAAATTTATACTTGCTTTGCCACATCCTCTTGGCCTCCATTATTCATGGTTGTTAGTTGGAAACTTGATCCATTCGTTAGACTCTGCAACTAAGCTGTTCACAACTGTATCCTTCAGTTGCTTGACTAACACCAAGTTCCTGATCATGTTGTTGATATCCAGGGTCACCGAAATAGCGTAGACATATCTTCATTTTATGAATACATGAAAGTTCTCCTGCTCGAGTTTCCTCATTCATACCTAAAATTCTGTTTACAAGCCATAGTAAATTTGCTTCTACCAACCGACACGATGAAGTGAAGGAAAGCGGGGCTTGAACCTTTTAGCATCCCTAACATCCACAATTACCGCCGTCACCTTTCGTTACGACGTTGAATCTCCTACTGACCATACATACAATTTTTGAAGGATATGCTTTCTATGCTAATTATAAGGTGAATATTATGTATATTCTTTTACTTATGTGTATCTGCCTTGAAGCATATACTAATACTCAAAAAGCAAAAGCATCTGCTTCAAATTGTTATAAAGACCATCTAATGCGACCCCTAGACGATCAATATTATTGTCAATATATTGCACGATATATTGTACAATATTATTAGTAGGCAACCCACACAGTGCAACATTATTGCTCAATAAATAGTTATCGACTGACATTGGTACAGTCGACATGTGAAATAACAAAAAGACAGCGAGTTGTGTGGCATAAGTTTACGAGTAAGTTTCAAAAGCGAAGAAGAAACAAAAACGCAGGTGAATGAAGGAATGATTCAAAAAGGAAATAAGTACACTCATGAAAATTTGTTAGATGATGAACTTTCTGCGACTAGATAGGATGAACTTTTAAGAATGTTTATACCTGAAATTCAAAATAGGATACAATGATACCTCCAAGTCAGCGTTTATCAATCCCATAATGTTGGTTCTATTATATCATCCGTCCCAGCACCACTTTTTTCTGATTCCCTTATGCGGTTTATCTCCTTTCTGAAGTTTTTGCGTTTTGATATTGAATTTTTTTAATTATTGCGACTTATCAGCATCTGGATAGAATTCTCTATATTTATAGACCAATGGATTGTACTGTTTTTTCTTTATTTCCGTTGCTGTAGACTTCCACGGAGCTGGTAAGGACCGATACACATCGATATATTCTAAAATAAACTTTCTTTCTTCTTCCTGTCCCTTTGACGCCATCCTTTACCACACCACAATGTGTGATAAGACAGGACTGGATATTGGATAATATTTCCTACATACGACGTAATATTTACTAGATTGCACAATAAAAATTAAAGTCTTTTTGACTGACTCAATATTTTGCGCAATATTTGAATGTGATCTACAAATGGTCAATATTATTGTACAATATCAGTTATTGTGTAATACCTATATTGACGTTAGTATTGCTCGTCTAGGGGCCGCTTAAAGGATTTCTTTCGAAATTTGCAAGAAAAAGGATACTCTTCGTTTTATGAATACGGCAATGTCTC